TATTCAGTGTTCTGAGCTGGTTCAGACCTGTTTAAAGCATCTGTGGTCCAGAGGTATGATTGCCGCCTGCCACGCGGTAGACCCGGGTTCGATTCCCGGCGGATGCACTTTTTATTGTGGTTTCATTTGCTAAACTTTTGTTATAAGCATCAGACCGTCAAAGACAGGCAGCAAAACATGACGTGTTCGTGAATCCGCTGTTACGTGGCGGTTAAAGTCATGAAGCTTTGTATGTATAGACTTTTCGGTCATTTCGGGAGAATCGGCGGTAGTGTGAACCTTGCCATGGAGGAGAACGTTGTCTACGATGATTTGGCCATTCTCGCCAAGAAGATCCCTGTCAAGGACCATGTCGTAGTATCGACTGTAGGCGGATTTGTTTGCGTCGATAAAAATCAAATCGAGCTTTTGTGCATGATCCCAGCGAGCCAGGACATGATCCGCAGACTCGCTAATGACGGTCACAGTGTCAGAGTAGCCAGCCCTGACAATGTTTTTGGTGGCAACAGCCGCCACCTCTGGATCACGCTCGCATGTCCACAAGCGAGGCGGCGACAGCAGATCACGGGTCTGGTGGTAGGATCGCAGGGCATGCGCTAACCAAACAGCAGAGTAGCCGGTGAAGCAGCCAAGCTCAAGGATCCGGCGTGGCTTTTGTGTGTGAACTAGATGGGCCATAAAGGCGCCTTGAAGGGGCGAGATCATTTTCAGCGCTTCTGTCGGGAATTCCTTTGCAGTTGATTCGCGGATGTGCTGGAGCTCTTGTGGCTCTTGTGCAGAGTTCTGTGCAGCATATGCGTAAACGCTGGTGTGAGACCGCTCTTGGCCGTCTTTGGTGTGTGCTGGGCTAGGAGGCGTGTCCATAAACGACCATTGCGTTAGACTAGCAGCGCTGGTATAAACATATCGATGACACCTCTTTGTCTGCTGGCTGGCAAGCATCCAGGTCCAGCGTTTGCTTGTCAAAGAGCCCATTAAGCTTTCCATAACGAGTCTTGAAAAGGTGTAAAGAGAAAAAAAGAAAGAAGCACAGGAGAAAAGAGTTCTGGTATCCCCTTTTTTATATTCGTTTTGCAGTTTCTTCTCTTGCCTTTTTCGCCATTCCAGCTCAATTTGCTTATTCTATGGAATTTACCTACTGAGTCTCTTATCCACTTTTCACCACTCTTCCATTCTATCGGCACATCTACAGCGAATTATTCATTACGACGCAGGAGAGGAAGACGGTGCTGGGAATGGTGTTTCTGGAGGCGCTAGTGAAGACTGGATGGTTGTGCGGAGTGGTCTTTCTGCTGTTCTCGGTTGGGTGCGGACTGTATGTGCTATCAGAATGGGTTGAAGAGCATCCACGGACGACACGGCGACTGCTTTGGTACACGATATGGGGCGTAGATGCAGTTCTGGCGCTCATGGCCTTTGAGGGACTCAGCATATGGCGGATAGTGGTGTCGGTGTGCACAAACCACATATACGCCTTGAACCTGGAGGGATTCCCGCTGGTGAATCTTGGGGGGCCGAGGTTTCTTGGCAGCTGTGCGCTTGCGGTGGGCAACCACTTTCTGTGGTTCTTTTACTTTATCCAGCGACTGTCGTTTCCCTTCTCGCAGGTGTGCTCGTTCATGTTCTTTTGCGTCTGGCTTGTGCCCCTCGCGCTATTCGTGTCGCTGGTGCCAATAGACACTGCTCTTCCCAGCGCACAGACCGTGGATCGCGGGAAGACTAGACAAAACATATTCAAGACGCTGTTCTCGAGGCTTGCAAAGGCAGACGATGGACAGCAGCAGCATCCACAGCAGCTCCATGTCGACTAGCGCAGCAATCAATCAACGCGAGTGCCCAAAACTGCACATCTGCAGAGTAAATAAGTCGTTTTTATCAGGTTTTGTAAAAAAAAAAATAATTGCTTTGATACGGAACCGAAATTGGAGCGGCAGCAGGCACAAAGATCATCCCGCTTTCGGATGCGCTTTGTCATCTGCTGTTGCCGGACGCTGCAAAGGCCACACAAGTCCGCGTTCTTCTCTTTCGATAAACGAATGTTCTTTTTGGCGTGGGTAATTCAATTAGTGTGTGCGCAAGGGTTGAGGAAAATGCAAGCGGCCCTCGGGTTCGCTGCCTTGGAACGCAAATGAAACGATTGCCATGAGCACAGACTTCGCTGGGGATTACATTGGCCTAGAAAGGGAATTTTCGCGCACTGGTCCTTGTGAATCGCATAATTTTAATGATTGTTCAAAAAAGAAGCTCTGCTGTTTTGGGGTCTGCTGTTTTTAGCTCATATGCTGCAAAAAGTTCTCCACACCTATCTTGTGCTCTTGTTTCCTTTTTCCCCTATCTTTCGCTTCTCTTTGGTATTTTCTTTATATTACACTAACGCCTACATTGACCGAAAAAAAGACAGTTTGTTTCCGGAATTATCGCTCCTCTTTCCTACATTCTTTTCTTTTGTTTCCACCTATTTCCGCCTTTATTCATTCTTACACTGTCACTATTTTTTATTTATTGCTTTTGATATCTCATTGAAATGACCATTTACTCTAGGGCCGTCCCAAACACTGGCGGCGACACCGAGACGCCGACGCGGCGGTTCCACACAACAGCCGATGCAATTGTCGACCGCGCGGACCCAGAGATTACGGATATCTACTCTGCGCTGCTCCAGGGCAAGGAGACGCGAGGCGATATGAATATCCTTGGCAAGCGCGATGTGCTGGGTATTGTCACGGAGAACAAGGTTGTGCAGCACAAGGTTGACGGCAAAATGGAGAGCGTGGAAAAGAAGTGGAGCTTCTTCAAGCTTGGGGAGTACAAGTGGATGACCTACACGCAGGTGGCCGACTACACCAAGGACCTTGGTGCGGGTTTCCGTAAGCTCGGTCTGGAGCCCAAGAGCCGCGTTCTTATCTATGCCCCAACCTCACGCGAATGGCAGCTGTGTGCTTTTGGTACGTATTTTCTGTTTTTGCTTTTGCTTCTGCTTTGTTTTGCCTAAAGAGGTTGCTGGTGGCTTCTATGAACTGGATGCTTGGCATTCTTGTTTTTTATTTTTATTTTCATCCGCCGCCTCTTTTGGTCCAACTGTTTTTTTCCATGCCTCACTGGGTATTGTTATTACTGCTTCTGAGTTTTTTGTTTCGATTGTTTCCCAATTTGGCCGCTAACAATCACAACAATTGGCATGGGTCTTGTAACTGTTCTCAATGTTGTTTCGGTAGGCGTGTTTTCGCAGTCGATGCAAGTTGTCACGGCCTACGACACGCTGGGAGAAAGCGGCTTGCTGCATGCGATGAACCAGGCAAAGGTGGACGCCGCATTCCTCAAGGCAGACCAGATCCCAATCCTGGCACGCGTCATGGATAATCTCGAAACGCTAAAGCACGTCATCTACTATAGAGATCTGTACGGAATGCCCGACGGATGCGAGGAGGCGATCGAGAAGCTCAAGACCAAATACACGGTGCACACGCTCGATGAGCTGCGCGAACTGGGGAGCGCCAATCCTGTTGATTCGGTTGCTCCTCATGGCCAAGACATTGCGCTTGTCATGTACACCAGCGGCAGCACCGGGAAGCCAAAGGGCGTGCTGATTGCCCACCAGGGCGTCATGTCGGTCGCTGGCGGGATCCACAAGTTCATCGAGCCGTTCCTCGACTACGGAACGGACGCGCTTCTCTCGTACCTTCCGCTGTCTCACGTGCTGGCATTCTTTGTTGACATCTATTGCATCTACTCTGGACTGCGGGTTGGGTACGGCACTCCGCGCACGCTGACGGACGAGAGCGTGCGCGAGTGCAAGGGAGACATCAAGGAGCTGCGTCCGGCGGTGATGATGGGTGTGCCGCAGGTGTGGAACACCATCCGGGCGGGCATGCTGAAGCAGGTGGACAAGAGCAGCTGGCTTGTGCGCAAGCTGTTCTACGGTGCAGTGGAGCTCAAGAACACCCTGCGTGGCCACAACCTGCCGCACAACTTCATGGACAACATCGTGTTCAAGAAGACGCGTGAGGCAACAGGTGGCAGCCTCAAGTTCGTGATCACCGGCGGCGCGCCGATCAACCACAACGTCCAGCGCCTGATCAACGCAGCGCTGTGTCCGATGATCCAGGGCTTCGGGCTCACCGAGGCCTCGGGGCTTGTATCCGTGCAGCTTCCCACCGACACATCGTTCAGCAACGTCGGTGCGCCATGCCCGTCGATTGAGATGAAGCTTGTGGATGTTCCGGAGGCCAACTACTACGCCAAGAACGGGCAGGGCGAGATCTGGGTCCGCGGGCCCTCGATCTTCAGAGGATACCTGGATAACGACGAGCTGACCCGCGAGGCAGTCACCGACGACGGGTGGTTGAAGACCGGCGATATCGGCGCGTGGACCGACCAGGGCCAGCTCTCCATCATCGACCGCAAGAAGAACCTCGTCAAACTGGTTACGGGCGAGTACGTTGCGCTGGAGGCCCTCGAGTCCACGTACAAAAACTCGCTGTTCATCCACAACATCTGTCTCTTCGCCGACGGCCGCATGTCCCAGCCCTGCGCTATTGTCAACATCGACGAGAACCAGATCGCGCAGATGGCAGACAACGCCGGAGTGAGCTACAACAACCCCGACGAGATCGCCACGAACCCCGACTTTATCCATGCCGTCCTGGCCGACCTCCAGCTGGTGGCCAAACGCAACTCGCTGGCGAAGCAGGAGACCCTTGCGGCCATCCGCATTGACCCTGAACTCTGGTCGCCGGAGAACGAAAGACTCACCCCTGCGATGAAGCTCAAGCGCACCGATATCCGCGACCACAACAAAGAGAAGCTCGATGACATGTACTCCAAGATGGGTATCTAAGTGCAAGTGTGTCAGCAGTCTCACTAGTAGCGATTAGTATTTTCTCTTTTATTCAACTTTATCTTTTTCCCCAATTTATCAGCAAGAAATAAAAAAAATATCACCATGGACGATCTCAAAAACATTTTACTGTTAACATCAATCAAATGCAAAAAAAGAATTGTGCCCACTGCCAGATTCGAACTGACGACCTTTGCTTTGCACTCATCCACCCATTCTGGGCGAATCCCTACGAGAGCAACGCTCTACCCCTGAGCCAAGTAGGCCTTTTTGATTTTCAAAATTATGAAAAAGTCACAATCTAACAATAAAATAAAAACGTTGTGAAAACATACAACAACTGTTTTTGGATTCTTGAAGGATGTTTTGACAACACTTGAGAATATAGGAATGAGATGATATTGAGAAAGAGAAATAAAGTAAATTGAAGGAAAAAGAGCAACTAGCAAAAGAGGGGTTTCCTTTACTCGACGGTGACAGACTTTGCCAGATTGCGGGGGAAGTCAACGTCAACGCCATTGAGGGTAGCCATGTGGTAGGAGAGCAGCTGCAGGGGAATGATGGACAGGATGCCCTGCAGACAGTCGACGGTCTGTGGGATGCGGATGGTCTGGTTCTCGGCGTCATCGATGTTGGTGTCGTTGGTGTTGCAGACAATGATGGGTCTTCCCTTGCGCGCCTGAACCTGCTGCAGGGCGTTCTGGACCTTCGGGTAGTAGGCGTCCTTGGTCATGATGACAACAACGGAGATGTTCTCGTCAATCAGCGCAAGCGGGCCGTGCTTGAGCTCGCCGGCCATGATGCCCTCGCAATGGATGTACGACAGCTCCTTGATCTTCAGAGCAGCCTCAAGACATGTTGCGCTCTGGAACCCGCGGCTAAGCACAAGCATGTTCTTCTTGTGACGCAGTTCCTCGGACATGGCCTTGATGCTCGAGTCGAGCTCCAGAACCTCCTTGACGAGGCTGGGAAGCTCGCGCAGCCCGTCGATGATCTCGCGACGCCGCTCGGTCATGGAGATGCGGTCCTCGCCGAGCTGCAGCGCCATCATCACCAGCGCAAGGTACTGCGACGTGTAGGCCTTGGTGCTGGCCACGCCGATCTCGGGGCCGGCGTTGATGTGCACACCGCAATGAGTCTCGCGCGAAATCGACGATCCGACAGTGTTGGTGACACCGACGCACAGTGCGCCGCGCTCAAGGCAGTAGCGAAGCGCAAGGATGGTGTCGGCGGTCTCGCCGGACTGCGACACAAAGACGCACACATCGTCGCGGAAGATTGGCGACTTGCGGTCGAGGAACTCGGACGACAGCTCGACAGCCACGGGAATCTCGGTCAGCTCCTCAAAGATTGCGCGTGTGGCCAGACAGCTGTTGTAGCTGGTGCCGCAAGCGGTGAAGACAATACGACGGCAACGGCGAATGGACGCCAGGTAGTTACGGAGTCCGCCAAGCACGACGTTGTGGCTGCCGAAATCGACACGACCACGGATGGTGTTGACAACGGATTCGGGCTGCTCAAAGATCTCCTTCAGCATAAAGTGCGGGAAGTTGCCCTTCATGATGGCCGCAAGCTCCATCTCGAGCGTCTTGATCGAGCGGATCGACGACAGGCCATCGTCACGACGCAGGCGGTAGATGTGCAGATCGCCCTTGTCGCTGATGTGCGCCATGTCGTCGTCCTCCAGATACAGCACGCGGCGCGTGTGTTCGATGATGGCCGACGGATCCGACGCAAGGAAGTACTCCAGCGGCTGCGAGCTGCCGTCGGCGCGCGCAAACGACCGCGACTGTGCGCGCTTGGCGTACGCTGGCGCCTTCTCCTCATTGATGCTTGACGCTGCCACGCTGTTGGTGATCTCCTCGACGTCAACAAAATCAACCGCCAGGTTCTCCGACGTCTTGATTCCGATCAGCAGAGGAGAGCCGCGCCGTGCCGCCACGATCTCGCCCGGATAGTGCACGCTCTTGAACAGGAACGCAAACGCACCCTCCAGCTCCTTGATCACAGCCTTTGCGAGATCAGGGAAGCTGATCGGTTGACCGCGCTGCGAGTCATAAACGTACTTGAGCAGCTTGGCAACTACCTCAGTATCGGTCTCCGTGGCAAACCCGTACCCCTTGTTGGCAAGCAGCGTGCGGATCTCCTTGTAGTTGGTGATGATTCCATTATGGACGATTGTGAACTCGTTGGAATCGTCCGACCGGTGCGGATGCGCGTTGACCGGCGACGGCTGGCCGTGCGTTGCCCAGCGGGTGTGCGAAATCGACGTCTGCACGGTGTACTTGCGGTCCAGATCAATGTCGGACTTCTCGACCAGTGCGCGCAGTGCTGCCACCTTGCCCACCTGCTTGATGATCACTGTCTCGTCGTTCGAGACTCCGTCAAACGCTATGCCCGAAGAGTCATATCCGCGGTACTCGAGCCGCGCAAGTCCCTTCAGCAGCGTCTCCGTCACGTAGCGGCAGTCCTTCTCCACAAAGTACGACAGGTACGCAAAGATTCCACACATGGCTTGCTACTGTTGCTGTTGATGTTGCTAGATGAGTGAGACAAGAAGCTTTCCTACAAAGCCAAAAAGAAGGGATAGAGCAGGAGTGTCGAGCAATGAACAAACGTTGGCGCCACTTTGTTAGTTTTGGCACAAGTGTGGTTACCGAAAAAGAAGATAGATATAGAGGGGGAGAAAAGAGGGAGGAACAGGAAAGAAAAGAAAAACACAAGGGCAAGTCAAGGAACAGAAAGTCGAAGGTGAAGAAAGAGCGGGCGCAACCAATGATTATTTATACTGCTCGATCCTTGGCCTCCTCTTCTCTCTCCGTCCACTCATTCCGTCGTCCTTGCTGGCTGTCTGGCTGAATGAGATGATGAGACTGACCTCTCTCTTTCCAGAAAAGAAATCAGTGATGCTATTCGCAATTCTCAGTAGAAAAAAGGAAAAAAGCTTTGGGTACCTCCGCCTCCTTTTTCATCCCCACCATGGGCTTTCTTTCTTTCTTGCATGGTTCTAACATTGCCAGCCCACATGGCCTTGCCTGACAGGCCTGAAAATGACCGGTGAGAAAAAGCAGCATGCTGTCCGCGGATGAGGGTGGGAGGATAGGATGGGACATGGCCTTATCTTTTCTTTCTTGCCAAACAACCAAAACTCATCGTGGCCAGTGCAGCTCCAGCGTAAGAGGCGGGTGTAGTGGAAGCAAGAAAGATCAATACGACTCTCTCCAGACTTGACAAGACGCACGGTATGTTGGGATCCAGAGGCTTGTGAGAAAAAAAACGACCCCAAGATCCATCGTCTTCCATTCTCAGCAGAAACAACACAAACGCAACGCAACGCAGAAAAACAGAACAGAACAGAACATAGCATACAGCAACAATTACAATGCACTGTGCAGCACGCATAAAGAAAATGCCTTTCAAATAGATAATGCGCAATGTGCCAAGTTGTTCTGTATATTACGTTTCTATCGTTTTGTTGCTGTTGTTGTTTTTTTGAGCATGGGCTTCTTTAACTTGTGGAGAAACAAGGAAAACGAGGATGATGTGACGGTCGGTTTCTTTTTCCTCCCTCTTCTAGCTGGCATGCGTGGCGTGGATTAAATGACGACAGCACACGAGCTTGATGGCTCGTTATCGCCCTGCGTTGTTGCGTATCCATCCCCACACGCACGCAGCAAAGGACTGCGTTTTGGACAGAGAAAGTTTTTATTCCCATCAGACGAGAAATGCACAATATCTTTTCTTGTCGTGCGATGTCCTGTGCAAATAAAAGCAACAATGTGAGTGCTGTGTGTGCGAACCAGACCAAGGCCACACATGTGTACTTTGCGCATGCATCTATGCATGGCCGAGGAAGGCCAAGATAGCAAACTTTACCCACATGCAATCAAGCAGACTTTCCCCGCCATTGCCAGCAGCTAGTTCTCCGTAGAACAGAAAACGAAGAAGAGAAGAAATAGAGCCCACAGGAGGTAAGATGACGCCTACCATGCGTTTTCCTGCTATTTATTTCCACAGAGATCGTCAAGAAACTAGTGGGGGGAAATACTGATGACGCTACATCTTTTTTCTTTGCAAGAAGGCCTAGTGTGATGGTTCCCTTGTTTTTTTGTTGGAACTGTTTGGCTGACTGGATATGACTGGGGCTCAGAGTCAAACACGGGAAGAAGGAAGGAGGAAGAGAGGATAGAAAAGATAACAGCGGATGGTTGGGAGATAAACGCCTGAAATAGTGCTAAATATAGTGTAATGGATAAATCCGTGGCAGCATAACCGCCACACTTACCTTGCTATATTCTTGTTCCTTGAGACGCTTTACTCCAAGACTTTGTAGCCTGAAAGATTTGGATATAATGAAATGAAAGAAAACAAGTCCTCCTTTGCTGCTTGGATAAGAGACAAAAGGATAGAAGAAAAAAGCGGTAATGACTGTTGCTGTTGCTGTTGAAAAGTGCTAATTGCTTGCAAGAAAAAGAGAAAAGAGTGAGCGAGGGAGAGAGAGAAAAAGGCTAAAACCGGTGTAGAGAAGAATTCCTCAACACCAAAGCATTCTTTGGAAAGAATTCCTCGGGTTTATAACATTCTACTCTCAAGGTTTCTTTCATGGTGTGAAAATAGCCAAACCATGCCCTGCCATCGTTCATTCCAAAAGGTCAATGTGCAATGAGGTATGAGGAGGAGGAAGGGGCAAATCCGCCTGTCTGATGGTCAGTCCCAGAAACTGAAAAATGGTCTTGTGGCTTTCTCGTTCATCGCAAAAAACACAATATCCCGCCTCCCATCTGTGTGTGCTGATTGGCTGGTAATTGGTCTTGCGAGTATTTCCCCTCCTCCAACGCTCTTTGTGATCCCCGGTTTCCATACAGAAAAAAAAGCGCAATGGCTGTCGATCAAGCTCAAAAGAACAGTAATTGTTATTTTTAGAAAAACGTTATCAACCTATTTATATACTCTGGCTTTCTTTTTCTTCTTCCCACATTGTGCGCTCTATCTGTTGTGTCAAAATGCGAAATGGAAACGGATAGTTCTAAATTTAAAACTATTTGAGACGATCTTTTCGGGGGGGGGGTCAATTGCTGCGCCTCAATCAAGAGATCCCGAGTCTCATTTCCCCCCACTCAATTCTATTTTCCTGTCTGTGCTTTTTGCTCGCTCCTGCGCTCGTGCATCTGGATCTCGCTCTTCATACCATCTAACAGCTTGTCCATTACCTCGCCGTTGGAGAACTGAAGCTGAATTTTATTTCGGATGCCGATCCCTCTTGCCA